TCTTTTGATTTTTTTGATTTTTTTTTTTTTTTTTTTTTTTTTGTCTGCGTTCGGCCCAAACGGCCGAAGGCATCACCAAGGGGTCCCATACGTTCGGGCGTTCGGGTTCGGGTGTTCGGCCCGTCCCGAACGCTGGTTACCATATATATATATATCGTCGCAAATGAACGTCCTACAATCGTTATGGGCCTGCAACCGGCATGCTCTCTGTCGTGCATGCTTCAAAGGTATAATTAATGCTAGTTGTCCTGACTCCTGTTGTGACGAAGTTGCTTACCTGAATGGTTTTCGTCCTATAGATCAGCGCGAGGGTTGCTACCATCGCCCCCATCCTTATGATATTTGTCCTATCTGGTGTGAGGGTCTGACTTAGACGTACCTTGCACCCTAACAAAAATGTGGAGGTGCGCTGAAAAAAGTGTACAAGAATGTGCAAAGGTGGGAAACCCTTCACAAAACTGCAAAACTGTGAATAATACAGTAAAAGAAGAACATAAGGTTTTAGTCATTTTGCTTTGTTTCTACCCTGCACCCTAACACACTCAAAGAGAAAGTCTGAAGGGTGAAAATAAAAATAAAAAGTGAAGAAGGAAGTGCAGGTGTGCTGAAAAGCGAACATGGTAGACTCTTCACAAAAACTGTAAAACTGTGAAAGAAAGAAGAATGCAGTAAAAGAAAGAAGATGTTTGTGTCACCCTTTTTTCTTTTTTTCTCCCTCTGCCTATCGATTTTCCTTTTCTGCTCCTCTCTTCCTTGTGTTTAGCACCTCTCCCTTCACTCTGCCTCTTTCCCATAGTGTGCAAGTGGGCTGTTAGGGCATATGGGGATGGGGCCAGCTCGTGCTCAACTTCATCAATGTGGCAGCCTTGTACGTTAGAGGCACGGTGGAGGAGTTGAACCACCAGTACTTGGCCCATGCATCGGCCGTGGCGCTTCCCCGTTAACGCGCCGCGCCTTTAGGGCTTTGGGGTACCAGACGACAATGGTTGGAGGCGCCAGCCAAAACGAAATCAAAAAGTTGCGTTGGTGGTTCGTCGAAACTAGGCGCACAGGGTGCCCCCAGGCTCGACATACATAGCTGGGCCAAGTACTGGTGGTTTCCTGCAGAAAATGGCCAGGTTCATGGTTTGCTATAATAGTAACGAGTGTATTTGCCACCTTTCGTGGGCAGATGCACTCGTTTGGTTTTCATTTCGTGTGCGGTGCGGCGAGGCCCTGTTTTGTGTCATTCTAGTTTGTCTCTCTTTGCCTGTTTGTCCTTTCATTTTTCTTTTCTTCACTCATCTTATTTCTTCTTCAACTTCACATGCTTACGCTCTTAGTCAATAGGTCTGTGACTATCTATTTATGTATCTATCTATCTATCTATCTATATATCGTCACAAACAGAACTGCCCGGTAAAACCGTAGGCAGAGAGAGAGAAGAGGAGAACAAACGAGGGGCTGTGGCAAACTGTTTCGTCGGAGTTTCACCGACTCATCAGGAGGATGCACGCTGTAGGGGCCCACTTGTCGGCAGGGCTTTTCAGTCCTGGCCGTCGATTAGGAATCTCTATGACCCCAAACGAAGAATCTTCGGGAGGGGCGGGGCGGGCGCGCATCAGTGGTTTCTTCCGCTGAGTTATACCGTCCAGACCCCTAGGAAATCACTCACAAGGCTCGCCGTGTTTCCACTCACGCTCCCCTCTCGCGCTGTATGCCGCTGCTATACCGTCCAGACCCCTCGCAAATCACCCACAAGCCCCGCCTTTTTCGCGTTTGTTTTCACTCCCGGTCCCCTGTCGTGCACTTTTGCCGCTGCTTTTGGTGGTTCCCTCGATTCTGCCGATTTCCGCGTCATTTTCCTGACAAGAACTCCTGCGGTGCGCTCTCGCGCAATTGGCTTGGAAAGAGTGACGTGGACGAGGAGTTCGCATCTGCGCCACTAGCTCCCCCGCCCTCCCTCGATACGTCGTTTTCGTTTGGTGCCAGTCCGTCTGCGGCAACAGTGGCGGGGACGATTCTTTTCCTTTTCCTTTCTCTTTCTTTCTTTTGTTAGTGATGAGTTCTTCCCCCTTTCGTTTTCATTTCTTTTTTTCTGATCTGAATGTTTCGCATTTCATCCCGCTCTTTTTTTGGAGAAGCCACCCGCCTGTCTTGCTGGAGATGCGAAGGGAATCGAACACTGGACCCGCTGGTAATCAATAGGTGTAAGCCTGCAGCGGAGCCATACAGCCCGCCACGCGAGATTCGTCAACGATAGTTTCTTTTTTTTTTTTTTCTGTTTTGTGGGAGTGTGGGCCTCGCTCCACTACTCTCCACATGCACGAAAGACAAAATATGGCGGTGTATCTTTCCATATTCTTGCGAAGGATTCATTTTCATTCATTTCGCACATTTTTTCGAGAGTGGTGGAGCGAGGCCCTTTGTTTCCCTCCGCAGGAGTGACGTGGGATCTCCGGACTCTCCCGCCGTTCTGCTCTCTCTCCCCTCTCTCACCTCTCTGTCCCTCCTGTCTCTCTGATTATACCATCAACTACGGTGCTACTATTAATGGTGGTGGAAGTGGTTGGGGGCGAAGTGTGAACGAGCGATTCTCCGTTGGTGTTTTTATTTTCCCTTCTCTCAGCCGTCGACTGACGAGATTCCTCCGGTATGCTTGGAGGTTATTTAAGTCTTTCTGAGGAGGAACTTATAGCACAGAGGCAAAAGGTTGACGCTGGAGAGCAACCGTGGAGCAATCGTTCGTGTCGTTGTAGTTTATCCCTCAGAGGAAAGTGAGGAGCAGCAGTCAGGAAGCCTCGTCTTTTTCTTACATTCCTTGAGCGCAAAGCTGTGACAGTGTGAAATCCATACAGTTCCCAAGTTTCTCCTCAGTCGGGCGATCAGTTGTTAGAGCTCCTAATTTCTCCGCTACAGTGATTTTGCCAACCCGGCGTGATGGCGATTGGTCGTGCGTTTTCGAGGATCGTTTCTCGCCGTACCGTCTCGGATTTCGTCCGACGATTCTCTGCGCAGGAGGGACGATGCTTGAGTGCTAGCCAAATGCAATTGAACAGGTCGGGTGGCATTCCCTTCTCTCCTCGATATTAATCTCTGTAAAGCTAATGCTATCCTATATCTGTGGTTCGAAGAGCCTTTTTTAAAATCTGAACTCTGTTCGAAAGACTTTGCCAGTAGTTATGTTGTGCTTGTCCTGGTGTCAAAGCTGTCCGATCGGTGTGTGTTAGTTAAGCCGCAGTTCGAGCTCTTCTCTAGATCTGTACTTGCTCATAGAGTGTTTGATTGGCTTCTGATTACGACTTGAATTCAGTCATTTTCACTCCTATCAGGGTGAACCGCGCGGTTCACCAAGATGATGCCGAGTCAGTTTCGTTTTAAGGCATATTTATATCGAGGCCGGATGATAGGGTATCGATCGGAGAAAGGTAGGGTCGTCTAGAGCAGAAAATATTTTTGTGATTCCACACGCGAGAATATATATACAGTGAGTAGTTCAGGCTGCCCCAGTGGAGAGGCGCAAAAGGAGATCCAACGCACACGGACGATCTTGATGGGGAATTTTGGTGTGCTTGATTGCCGCTTTGATTGGAAATGTTGGCAAAAGGAAGATCCGACGCACACGGACGATCTTGATGGAGAATTTTGGTGTGCTTGATTGCTGCTTTGATTGAGAATTTTGGTGCGCTTGGCTGCTGCTTTGATTGAGAAATTTGGCACTTTCTTAAGCATTCACTTGACATGTTTTTTTTATTGTTGTTATTTTTGTTGATGTAGAAGGAAGTTTTTCGTCCATTCGATCCGCCTGTGACTGTGTGGAGGAGATGCGGAAACATCACCTCAACTCTGATCTGTGTCTGTGCTCCGTATGTCTTCAGTCCTATGACGTCGCAGTTGTAGCCAACTGGATGAAGATTGTCCCATTTCACCTGTCCTCGTTATCCTTGCGGCTGTGGATGGGTGAGCTGTACATATTGGCGTATAGTGGTTATATTCATCGGAACTATCCATGCTGATTACTATTTAGTAAGATATTTAATTACTATCTGATTATATAATTGATTACTGTGTGGATGGGTGAGGTGTACATATTGGCGTATAGTGGTTATATTAATCGGAACAATTCATGCTGATTACGATCTAGTCAGATATTTAATTACTATCTGATTATGTAATTGATTACTATTTTAATAAAATATTAGATCTAGTAAATATTTGAATCCATCGAATAAATATGTGATTATTATGTGATTGAGTATCTGAGTACTATCGAATTAAATATTTTGTCGTGGTGCGTGTATCCAAGTTGGGTTGAATTGATCGAGATGCCTGAATCCTGCACGCGATTTCTTATCTGGTTACTATATATTGTCAAATAGAATATACGTAATACATAAAAAATTAAAATGTATATATCGATATATGCATAGCCTAATAATTTAGGTATAGATATCGTCAAACAGAACTGCCCGGTATAGCGTAGGCAGAGAGGGAGAAGAGGACACCAAACGAGGGGCTGGAGTTTCACCGACTCGTCAGGAGGCTGAACCCTGTATGTATAAATATAATGTCTACATATATGTGTATTTATGTATATATACACAAGTCTGTAGAGTTTCCCATCTGGTGTGGGTGAGTGATAGTGATAGTCTGCTTTGATTTTCGTCACAGGTACCTTGAGGGCAGTGGTTGGTCCCCACCACCTCAGAGGGGTATCAGTTGCCGGGCAATCGTTGATACTTGACCACGGGTGAGTGATAGTGATAGTCTGCTTTGATTTTCGTCACAGGTACCTTGAGGCCAGTGGTTGGTGGTCCCCACCACCTCAGAGGGGTATCAGTTGTCGGGCAGTCGTTGATGCTTAAACACAGCCGAGGTTAAGGTGGATTATCACTTAGTGTAATCAGTTAGGGGATTCTACAGACTGTCGAGGGTTCAGCCTCTACTGATGAGTAAGTCGGTGAATCTCCAACGAAACAGTTTGTCACAGCCCCTCGTTTGTTTTGTCCTCTTCTCCCTCTCTGCCTACGGTCTACCGGGCAGCGCTGTTTGACGGTATATACACAGCCCCTTGTTTGTTGTCCTCTTCTTACTCTTTGCCTACCCATCGGGCAGTTCGGTTCGAGGATATAAATACATCTCCGTAATACATCCATCTCAGCTGATCGTTTTTCTCTTCTCCAGAGTTTTGGTGGAAATCCCTTTATGCAGCGTGATCAGCTGATTGTTTGTGTTTGTTGAAGTGGTGACTGTGCAATGTTATCTGTACCGCTTTATTACAGTAGTAGTATCAGTGATTGGGCAGTTCTTACAAGAGATGGAGTACTTCCCTGCTCCTCTGAATGGAATGCCATGGTTAGTGCGTAATGTCTGAATTAGTCCTGAGCCAGACTTGTAAAAGAGAGAGGGGAAGAGAGGGGTGGTCGTGGTCGATTAAAGATGACGAAAAGAAAATACACTTCTGGTAAATGGGCGAGTTGATGGGAAGAGGGGGTGTGGGCGGGTTGGGGGGGTAACGTGGTGTTTGAAAAGAGGGTGGGGGGGGGAGGCGGGGAGGGATAGGGAAAGTGGGATGATCTTTCGCTATATTGTCGTGGTTCAGAAAAGTAGAGGAGAAATTTGTTGCATTTTGATGTATGAACGGGGGGTTGGGGTGGGGAAACGGGTATTGGGGTGAAGAGGAAGCGGGGTGATGTATTGGGATCTGATGTCTGGATGTCTGAACAGGTTCGCGTTACCCCTGCCTGACAAGTTTTGTATTGTCTATCTACTTTTTGTCCGCGGTAATCCGGTAATTGGCTTGTTTTGGGTCATTAGCTCTACAGTCTTCACCCGAATACAACGTACTGTCATTATAGCTGTATTTGGGCTATGTTGTCGTCTAAATACAGGCATAATGACCGTACGTTGTATTCGGGTGAAGAAGGTAGCTTAAATGTATCTGATTGCATTTACGGCTGGACGTGGATGTATTTGGTCGCAGTCATGTCCACAGCGTAGTGAGAGAATATGCCCACAATGATGTATTGTTCTCAGGTCACAAATGTTTCTGAATGATATACGGTTGTTGAATTATGATTGTGCACAGAGGTTTCGCTTATTCTCTTCTCAACTCTGCAACATCATCGAAGGCGGGGCTTGCCAGCTCGTGCAGGTATATGCAGGAAAAGCCAATATGTACACCTCACCCATCCACAGCCGCATTTGACCCCCTTTCCGTCTTTTTTTTTTTTTTTTTTGACCCCCTTTCCATCTTCTTTCCCGCTCTTTATGATTATGACCAATCTGCTGAGTCTCTGAAGTAATGCTCATCCGCTCTATCGGAATGTTCACTGCCCTTTAAAGGAATTCTCTGTTCCCTTGCCCAGTTAGGTCCCTCTCTCGCTCCCCTTCCTTCTCTATGTTGTGTGCGGCATCGATATAACACTCGTTAGGTCCCTCTCTCGCTCCCCTTCCTCCTCTATGTTGTGTGCGGCATCGATCTAACACTCGTACCAATTTCAATTTCCTCTCTGCTACATAACTTCGTTTCTGAGCCTCGAACTACCGGTAGTCCTCTACAGCGTGAAAAAACAAAAAGTGATTTCGGGTCTTCAAACTGGTCTAGAAACTTTCCTCAGTGTGTGACAAACCTGGTAACGTGAAATTTCATCACTGGCGGGACTCCGCTCTCTATGCTCCCGCCAGTGTGATAATCCTGATAACCCGAAATTTCATCTCTGTGCTCCCGTCGGTACCTGCGCTTCCTAAAAAGATTTGAAATGTGGCTGCGCAGTCCGCCGTGACAGGTTCAGGACCTCGCTAGTGAATCTTTCTGTTTGAATTGGAGAGATACACGCCCTTCTTCACGTTTAGCGGGTTTTCGAAGGGAGGTCTCCGCAATCTTAGGTTTCACTTTTTAATGAATTTTTGGGTTCTTAATGGGCGACGGTTGGTCCTAACGGTCCAATTAAAATTTAGCTCTATGGTGGCTTTGGAGGGATTTTCGTCTTTTTTTCTCTTTTTTTGGGTATAAGGGCGGCAGTCTTGAGATATATCCACAGGTTACTGGCCCCAGGTAATTTGAGATTATTATGGTCCAAAGTAATTCAAGATATACATAGATTATAATATTATATGTCGTGATCAGAAATCCCTTCACATTCCTAAGGAGGGATTTCTTCCTTTGATGTAACTTGTTGTTCAATTCTGAAGGATCTAGTTCGGTTATCTGTTTCGTGAAGTGTTTGCTATGTCTGGTCCTCTCTCCACTACTCGCTACACCACTTGCACAAAAGACATCTTTCCGTGTTCTAGCGGATTAAATTAATTTAATTCTCATTTTGCACGACTGGAGCGAGGCCCTTCGTTATCCGATCCAAGTTTCAGTTTGGAGGGATTTGTTCGTCTGATTTAAGTGTTTTATTTTTTATTTTAAATTACGTCTTTGTTTATTTTTTGCACCAACAGATGTTAATTTATTTGTCGATTGTTTGTGGGTTGTTTTAAATTGTAGTTTGTTTGCCGATCGATTATGGTCTGATCTGAGTTGCTGTGGTTTATGCAAGCCTTTGAAATTAGAATTTCAAATTTAATTGCGAATATGCTTTATTTAAATCGAAGAAATTATAATTGCGATGACTTATATTTTCGCAATTAAAATCTTTCTGTGAACAATAACTTTGTCTGTGGTGATTCATGGTTTGGTGATCCCAGACTCGGTGCGCGGTGCAGTTTCGGATCGAAGATTTGAGAACAAGAAATTACTTAATCATTTCTTGATGGTCTTGCAATGTTATTTGAAACTCTGTCGTCGTTTCGGTGCGCGGTGCAGTTTTGGATCGAAGACGGACCAGGCAAGCAAATTTGAAATCTGACATCTTTTTTTGGGGGGGGTTTGAAAAAATCTACAGGTTCACTTCGACTGAGGTGTCGCGTGCCATTGCGAGAGAAAAACTTTTGGTATGTGTTTGCTGTTCCCGTGATGCGTTCATAAACCCGCAATTACTGTTGTCTCTTCTTTAAGCCGATTTCGATGTGGTTGTATCAAAACGCTGAAGAAGGGAGGGTTAGAAAAAGAGGAAACGGGCAATAACGCCAAAAAAGGGAGGGGAAGACGAAGAAGAAACGGGCAGTGAAAAAGGGATTGGAAGAGGGTCTAAGGTTGGGTTTTCTGCCACTGGAATAAAAGTCACGCAGAATTTGTAAGTGGGCCATTGCGGATAGTAACATTTATAAAGAAATAACGGGGGATTTACCCGCGGAAAGTTCTGGCGGGGAAAAATGAGTATTATCTTAGGCGTGAAGTATATGTTTTGCACGTGTTTTGTATTTGTTATTTGTAAATGCTCTTAGGAATAACCGTTTAGGCACGAATGGCCACAAGTTTTTCACAAACACCTCCCTGCTGGGAAGCCCCCCTTCCCCCCTCCTTCCCGCGGCGTCCCCTTCCCCCCTCCTTCCCCCGGCGTCCCCTTCCCCCCTCCTTAACGCCCCAGCCGTCTCCGTCAGGAAGAAGTGAGGTTTTTGAAGCCTGTGACACCAAACGGTAACGGGGCTATGGTAGTAGCAATCTTTGTGGTCGTTGGGTGCTTACCGAGGGTTGGAGGCACAGGTGCAAGGTTTGTGCTTAAGGTTAGTGATAAGGTTAGGTTGTACCGAGTTAGATGTGCCGAGGCTAACGTGTACATGACGGACCTGGGACAAGTGGAGCCTCTGGTTGGGCATGGTGTGTGTGTGTGTGTGTGGGAGAGAGAGAGAGAGAGGGAGACGGGATTTAACTCGTGTTATTGGTTCGTCTTTGCGAATTTGTCTATCGTGTTGCAGGCTCCGTTCGGTGTGCGATTCTATGCTGGTGAGTTTGAAAATCTCTCTTCTTGTGATCAGTTAATTCTTGCTAGTTGACCAGTGCTCGAGCTGATGTATTTTGTAGATTTCTTTCGCGACTTCATTCTATTGAATCTAATTGAATCTAGTTGAATCTAATTGAATCTAATTGAATCTAATTCTCTTCTTTCGCTTAAACATTCGAGTCCATCTGTCCACTTTCTGCCTTGGTCTGTTTGAGTGAAATGTGCTTAGTGCTGATTGAATTGCTTTGCTGGATTGAGACTGAATTTTTTGGGCGACTGAATTTGTTTGCTGAGGGAACGACTTTTTTGGCTGATTGAATCTCTTGGTGTTGTTTGACGTATGCAGAGGACCCGGACCATATCAAGGTGTCTGACTGATAGTTTTGTCTGACTGAATTTCTTGGGTGGCTCAAGTTTTTGGGTGTCTGAATTTCTTGGGTGATCGAATTTCTTGGCTAATTGATTGGATTGCCTGGCTGATTAAATGCTTTTTTTCGCTGACTGAGTCCCTTGGTGTTGTTGGGCATATGCAGACTACCCGGAGCATATCAAGTTGGCAATGCCAGCTCTGTCGCCTACGATGGTGAGAGGCAACTTTTGCGTGAAAAAAAAATTTAATAAATTCATTTTTTTGTCTACTCTTTTTGTATTTGGGGGGTTTCAGTAAAATCTTTTGCGTGACTTGTCTTGAGTTCAGTCGTTGGGTTAAACCTTTCATGGAATTGATTTGCAAGTCCAATACCCTCTCGCGTGCGGCCTTTTACTATTATGGCAAGATGTGGAATGGAACTGTAATTGGAATTTTACGACATTGGCAGAACGAATCTTCCGCTAGAACAGGGGAAGATACACCGTCATATTTTTCGTCTTTTGTGCATGTTGTCAGTAGTGGAGCGAGGGCCAATTTGCAGACTTGTATGTAAGGAGTTTATCCACAACAAGATCCTCAGACCCTGGGAAATGTAAAATCAATGGTGGCACGTACATCTCAGAGAGAGAAATGTCTAGAAATTTATGATTAGCGGATGAAAGACTCCGCGCATATATATAAAAAAAATTAAAAATTAATGGCGGTACCAGTGTCTGAAACGCGGAGCTCAGTGTATCGAAATTGAGACGGTCAACGACGGGCTTACCGTCTTCCACCGAACATAACGCCACCTAAAAATGAATGTATACGAGTTACATTTCCGGCCAGATACAGCCAAAATGAGGGTGCGTTGTGTTCGAGGAAGACGGTAGCTCAGTTGGAGCACCCATCAGCTCGATGATGATGATTATCTCAAGGCTGTCGCCGTTTCAAAAAGACGGTCTTTGTTTGTGTACCATTTGTCACCTCGATGATGATGATATCTCAAGATGTTTTTACTTTTTGAATTTTCAAATGCCCTTTTCCTCGTCTGCTTGAAGAAGTGACTGGCCACTAAATGACTAAATTTAATATTGGTATTATTATTTTATTATTATTTAAAAAATTTTAATACTTTTCTGATATCAATGAATTTATTGAACTTGACGAGTTACATGTGGCACGGGTGTGCTTTCTTTCGTCAAGTCCTGCATCTTGCTTTCTATCACGCAATGGACCTTGTTCAACTACTCGCCACATGCACAAAAGAAAAAATATGGCGACGTATCTTCCCATGTTCTGGCGCAAGATTCATTCTCATGTTGCACATTTGACGTAATGTGTTTTTCATGACGATTGGTCGGATAAGGGAACGATTTCAGAAATCCTGCTTTTTATCGTTTCTTTTTTCTTTTCCCTTTTCTGTTCTTATTCCTTTTCTTTTTTCTTTTCGCTGTTTTTTTTTTGTTTTTTTTTTCTTCTGACGAACATAAACTCTACTTTCTTAAACGGTGAAATTGTGGATGCGTTCATTTGAACTCCCTTATGTTTTTTTCATGACGATTGGTCGAATAAGGGAACGATTTCAGATATCCTGCTTTCTTTCGTTTGTTTTTTTCTTTTCCTTCTTTTCTTATTCCTTTTCTTTTTTCTTTTCGTTTTTTTTTTCTGTTTTTGTTTTTTCCTTCTGACGAACGTAAACTCTACTTTCTTTAACGGTGAAATTGTGGATGCGTTCATTTGAACTGCCTCCTATTAAAGGCACTTGATTGAACACTGCAGCAAGTTTCTTGAACTGCCTCCTATAAAAGGCACTTGATTGAACACTGCAGCAAGATGCGAAGATTGCAAGAATTCAACCAAGACTGCAGTAGTGTGAAATGAAGGCTACTTTCAATGAATCGTCTTAACCGTCGCTCAGCGGATTAAGTTCTAAGCTTTTCGTTGTGGTTTGTATTTTGGCTTTGCAGGAAATGGGGAACATTGTTTCATGGAAGAAGAAAGAGGGGGATGAGGTATATTCATTGACCCCTCCTTTTTTTCCCCTCTTGTCTCTAAGAGACCTCTTTGCACTTTGAAGCGGCCTTGTTAAAGTTTATGAGAGATCCCACGTCCATACTTAGAATTCACAAGTCCATCCGACCATTTTATTGTTTGTTCAAGTTTTTGTGATTTTCTTTGCGTTGGGTTTCGGTGAAGGGCGTGTTCATACTGAGGGCATACCCACTCTAGGAACTCGAACAATGGACGTGATTGCAGGTAGATGCATTCAGGTCCGGACGTAATCGAAGTGAGATACATTTTCGAAATTGCTACCGTCTTCATTCGAATAGAACGCCTCGTCATGATCTCTGTATCTGAACTGGAAGATGCACCAAATACTATGCTGTAATGATTTTAAGTTGTATTGTTTGTTCAAGTTTGTGATGTTCCTCGCTTTGCGTTTTGGTAAAGGGCGTGTTCATACTGAGGGCATACCCACTCTAGGAACTTTGCGGACTCGAGAACAATGGACGTGATTGCAGGTAGATGCATTCAAGTCTCGACGTAATCGCAGTGAGATACATTTTCGAAAATTGTGCCGTCTTCATCCGAGTAGAACGCCCGGTCATTATCGCTGTATCTGGACTGAAAGGTGCACCAAATACTCTGCTATATAATGATTTAAGTTGATTTTAAGGTGTACTCGTGTGAAGACGGTAGTGTAAGTATGCCCTGCGAGCCCTTGGTTGTGAGTTCCGTCAAATTCTATAGGGGTAAAGATGAAAATTGTACCAATTTGGTTATTACCCTGACCATGTAGGTGTTAGCAAACATGAGTTCGAGCCCCGATTGATTGGAATTTGGAATCAGATGAACACAATAAAGTTAGGGGTTGTCCCCCTTTTTTTTATTAAAGCGAAAAGCAATCACTTTTTTTTTTTGTTTTGGTGAGCCTCAGGATGTACGAAAGGAAAAGAAAAGTCCATTGGACCAGGAAAGTCTGTCCCTCTTGTTCTTTTTTCGTTGAACTGATGAATAATTGCGATGGGATTCTGTATATCTTTGTTCCTCTGTGAAATCAGGTGGCTGCGGGAGATGTGCTGTGTGAAATCGAGACGGACAAAGCAACTCTTGACAACGAGTCGCAGGAGGATGGGTAGGTGATGCGCATACCTTTGCGGCGAAGTGCCTTGGTGCACAACTCGTTATCTGCCAAGATATTGAATGCATCCGGACACGTGTTTTGTCCAGATGCATTCGAAATGCTGGCGGATGGCGAGTAGTGCGCAACTAGTAGGCCCAAAGAGACTATAGAAGCAAAATCAAATGCTGGATGGAATTTGATGCACCGTGTCTGATGGAATTTTGTGTTGCAGGACGGGTCGATAACGCAGTGGTAGATCACACAAGAATTCAAATGTCAAAGACATGAGATGAATGTTGAAGTGTAAAACTGACTGCAGTCAATCGACGGGTGAAAACGCAAAACAGATAAGGCGAAAAGCACAAAATTTTACATCTCTATGCATTTAAGCAGGTAAAGAAGACAACGTAAGGCTTGCAAGTGACTGGAAAAGGCACGGAAAATTTTACATCTCAAATGGTGCACCGGTTTTACAGGGGATTCTGCACTGGAAATCCGTTTTCCCCAGCCTATAGTGTGGGGGCGAGGTCTCATTAGCACAGAGGGTTAGATTTAACGCCTGAAACTGGACCTGTTTGAGGACAGATGCAGAAAATCGTGATTGATCTGCTTTTCTGCATCTCCGCTAAGAACGTATCCAGATTCAGGTTCTGAATTCGATCCACTTTGCAAGTGGTACCTATCGTAGCCCCGGGTTATTTGGCTTTATGCCTGTTTGGCCTGTGGGACCAGGCCGTGGCCCTGATCTCACAGACTGTATGTTCATCAAGTCCGATCAGGCCGTATGTTCAGTCAGTCGGGCACCGCAGTCAGTACAAGTACAGTCAGTCCGATAGGGGTATACCCCAGCCGGCAGTCTGTTTCTTGATTTGTTCTTCATTGTGCAGTTTTGGAGTATGTCCGTTCTGAGTCCTCCTGGGTGGTGTTGTCTCTCTCCCTTTTCAGCTCCATCTCCGTCTCCACCTTCCTCCTCCCTTTTCCATGGTTACTGGATCTGCCATCCAGGAAGCTCCCATTACAGATTGCATCTGTTTTAGGGCCTCGCTCCACTACAGAACACTCTGCATGCATTTGGACGATTGGCTGTTTCTTCTGCGCTTGTGCATTTCTTGGGTGTTCTCCATTGATGGGGTGATGTTTCTTATGTGCTTGTGTGTTGGCTTCTCATCAGTTATGTAGCCAAGATTCTTGTCCCAGAGGGCACAAAGGAAGTGCCAGTTGGAAAGACTATCTGCATTATGGTGAGTTCATTCACCGTCTTGGAACCCCTCTCATCTGTATAGTCCTTGATATCAATAGCTCAGCTGTTCAATGAAGAGCAACCCTTCAGCTATTTTGTGCCTCAAGTGATTAACCGATACGTAATTGCTGTCTCATCTGTATAGTCCTTCCTATCTATAGCTCAGCTGTTCAATGATGAGCAACCCTTCAGCTACTTCGTGTCTCAAGAGATGAACCTATAGCTGTAGGTCCTATACGTAAGTGCTGTACGAGTGCTGCGTTTCACGGCAGTGGCAGACATCAGACATGTCGGCTGTGAATTTCATGCGTTGGCACATGTACGTTATCTTAAACCATCTGGAGTTGCTAGGAATTGGTCCAGAATCTGGAGTTGCTTCATTGCACAACAATGAAAATGAACCTGGAGCTGGTTATGGTCGTGATACATTCAACATGCTTGATGGGTCCGTATTCATCTATCTAACAATTCGGAGTTTGGATACATGTCGTTGAGTAGTGGAGCAAGGCCAAGTTTGTCCATTTGGCATCACACATGTAATCAATATGCAGTAATCAATATGCGCTGGGCTGCACAACACTCTTTAACTGAACCTGGAGGTCGTTATGGGTATAGTTCATTCAGAATCCTCTCAGTCTGAATGTATCTGGCCAATTCGGAGTTTACATGTTGCCGAGTAGTGGAGCAAGGCCAAGTATGTCCATTATGCATCCATATGTAGTCGATACGTTTAATCGCTTTGCGTTGTTTGTATGGACATTGGCGGGCTGCAGTGCTGCAAAGACTCCCTCAATGGCACATACACAGGCCTGTCCTGATGGTCTAAAATTATTTTATTGTTTCTCGTTTTAACTTTTAACGTTTCGGCCATAAGTGGTCAGCTGTAGCTCCAACTTTTAACGTTTAACCAAGTTATGGATTACTTTTTGGTAATAATGGAATCCGGACTGCCCCAACGTTTTTGCTGTCTTCCGGATTCCATTATCGCGGTGCTGAGCTCCCGTTTTCCTTTGGGGATGAATTTTGTATTTTTGAGTTTTGTTTTGGGATAATTTGCGAATTACCCCTATAAATTGAGATATATGCCAAAATGCCCTTAAAAAAGATGGGGGTAGAGCGGAATGCCCCTGTGACAAGTCGTAAACCAGTCAAATATAACATACCTCTGACCTCTGATATGATGATCAGGCGGTATCGTTATAGGAGTCGGTTTATAAGAGAGCCATAAAGAGACAAAATTGGTATGTTGGACCTGAAAAATGACATCTAGGACGATGCTTGATTGTTTTATTGGAGTTAAGACTTAAAGATATAAGACTCAGTGTTTTATTAGAGGAAATACGGTAGGTTGTAAGTTTGAGGGAATACTTGCATTAGGATTCTTGTGAATGATCTCTACACGTAATTGCGGTCAGATACATCCTGGACCGGCCCGTAATTCCAGTCAGATCCGTCCAGGAAAGTCCCCAGTGTGCGTATAGTCTGATTGTTTCTTTGATTGAAGGAAAGACGGGCTTCTCAAGTTAATGGGCGACTAAGACTGCGCTATGGTCTTCACCTCAACGTACTGTCATTATTGCTGTATCTAGACGCGAAGTTGCCCCAAATACAGCTGTAATAACTGTACGTTTTATTTGGTTGAAGATGGTAGGAAGAGGGTACCGGACAGGTCTTGTTCAGGGTGTTGCCACTCAGGTGATGCCTCATTGTAAGAAGTGAGTGCGGGGATCATTTGGAATCGTGTGCGTGATTCGTTTTCGATGGATAGCTTTGCACAAGTTGGTTCTTTTGTTTGTAGTTATGCGTGCTGATGAGCATATAATTGCTTTGTCTTTGTGTTCGATCCTCTCAGGTGAGTGAAGAGGGGGACATTCCCAAGTTTGCCGATTACAAGGACTAGAGAAACAGTCGTGATGCGACAACCCTGCAGCACATGAAGACTGGCGGATCTTCGAATCGATCTTGTCTGCCTTCGTCTTTGCTTCGGATGGATCAATAAGGAGAGGTGTTGCTTCCGATGGATGAATAAGGAGAGAGGGGTCACGCATTCTCTCTCTCTCTCTCTCTCTCTCTCTCTCTCTCTCTCTCTCTCTGTGTGTGTGTGTGCGGAGGAAAGGGAGTTTCATATTATTTGGAGAGCTTGGTGGGAAGGTCTTTCGTACCTCTTTTATTAGGAGGGGTCATTTCTTAGTGATATACGTTTTTAGGAGAGGGGAATCGCTGTTTCGTTGTGGGTAAAGATATGGAGGTGGAGCATGTGCTTTTGTAAATTCTTCCTCCTTTCGTGTTACCGTGTGAATCAAAGAGTTTGAAATCTTGCCTACCATCAAAAGAATGTGCAGTTTTCGCTCTCGGCTCTTTGTCCGTGGATGGCTGTGGAATTTTCATTTGAGGTCGAAACGAATAAATACTCTGTATTTCGGACTTTCTCTTTGTTTTGTTTTTTTTCCGAACTCCTCAGCAATGAGGCTGCATGTCGCTGCACTCCTCTTCATTAGGTCACCTTCGTAACACTTGGAGTTTTAACCAACTTGTCACTGTATACTAGCTATCTATTACTGGGCCTCGCTCCGCTACTCGCCACATCCACAAAACACAATTTACGGTGGTGTATCTTTCGAAGTTCTAGGGGCAGATTCATTCTTAATTTGCTCACATTTGGTGAGTAGTTGAGCGAGAGGCCTATTATTAGCTCTTTTTATTAGCATCGCAATCAATCTCTTAATTATCAATTATAAAAAACGATCAATCATCAATTATCAAAAATTATAAATTATCAAATTAAAATGCTCAATTATAAAATAAAAATTATCAATTATAAAATAGAAAATTATCAATCATAAAATAAAAGGCTGTCAATTATCAATTAACAATTATCAATTTGGATTTCGGAATGGATGCTGACGAGCGGCATTATAATTTCAGAAATACAGCTATAATGACCGTGTGTTACATTCGGCTGAAGACGACAAAAGCATAATTTTTTCAACCGTCCTCACCCGAATAGAACTCACGATGAATATCGCTGAATCTAGACCATAACTTGGCCCAAATACAGCTATAATGACACGGGGTCATTCTCTTTTTCTTTCTTTCTTTCTTTTTTTTTTTTTTTTTTTTTTGTTTGTTTGAAGGACGACGGCCTTGAGATATCGTCATTAAGCTGACCCGACCCAGGTAATTCAGAAATAGCTTTTTCAACTTTTACTCGTCAAGTTCCATCATCATCTGGATTCGAACAGGGCTCCGTATTTTTTACAGTTCAAGGGTGTACCCACTGAGCTAGGCTCTTGGTCAAATGCTTCATCATGATCTCTATGTCCAGCATGACCGGGGGCAAGGTGCCACTCGCACGGATTACGAGAGTTTGGCCGTAGATCTTCACTACCTACGGCCCCTATCTCTTATTCCGTGCAAGTGGGACCTAGCTCCAGGACCGAGGTCCCACTAGCAAAAAAGATAGGATCGAGCTGCTGAATCTGGATGTGTTTTAGACAGAAATGCAGAAAAAGCAGTTCAATCTCGATTCCTCCGCATCTCCATAAACTCTTCCAGATTCAGGCAATCGATCCGATCCTCTTCGCTAGTGGGACCACGCCCGAGGTGGTCGAGTGTTATACGCTTGTAACGGTCGGTGAACAGATTAATGATAAAATAATGTTTATGGTGTACCGCTAATATTACCCCTTCGGGGATTTTAACCCCCAACCACCAGTACATGGCCCAATCAAGTTGACAAGCCAAATGAGCCTCTCGTAAGAGTTCGGGGACTGGCCCCGCGGCGGGCCTGAGTGGAGGCTGGGAATGTTTTTGTCCCACGCTTCGGGCCAGGTACTGGCGCCGCGCGGGACAGGAAAAAAATCCGGCCTGCCCACGCTTCGGGCCAGGTACTGGCGCCGCGCGGGACAGGAAAAAAATCCGGCCTGCCCTCAAGACCCGCCATGGGGCTCTCCTGACTTTTAGGAGAGCTCGTTTGACTACGACGTATGTACTGGTGGACTGGTGGTTTCTGACTTCTGTTTTTTTTTTCCGTTTTTTTTTTTTTTTTTTTTTGTGTGTGCAATCTACTTGGGAATGGTCCTAGAGTGCGTTGAGTTCTTCAGGGGGCCAGGTCCCACTAGCAGCGTTGAGCTACTTCAACGCCTGAATGTGGACGTGTTTGTGGAGACGTGCAGTTCAGGAAACTCAACATCATTTCTGCACATCTCCGCAGAAGCGTCCACATTCAGGCGTTGAGGTAGCTCATCGCTGCTAGTGGGACTTGGCCCCGGGTTGTTTGTGAGGAATTCCCGAGGCACGGTTCCACTAGCAACCGAGTAAGGTATATTGTCGCACGGAGACACCTGTGGGACGTCGGGGGCAGCCGTTGCTGCATCGAAATCCGAGGGTAGCAAAATACAGATGTTTGTATATTTAAAATTTGTGTTTTAATTTACTTTTTCTTGTTTTTGTTTTTTTGGTAAATCACAGGATGTGGGGAAAAGAAATACCAAGTCCGTTTTTGATTGGTGTTCGTATTGACCGTGCTTTCTTTTCCGGTCAATAGAAAGCCCCTCGAGTACTTTATTACTTTATTTCTTTCTCAAAATATAAGGACTTCACGCTTGAACATGGGAACCGACACAGGAGGCAGTCCCGTCGGGCACACTAAGGAACTCCACTCCCTCTCTGTGGTACGTGAGACTCGGACTGCAATCGTCACGTAGCACTTGTCATAGGTGCACCCTCAGGCAATAAAGAAAGATGGAAGAAGGGAATCTGGCTACGTTCTGCGAGGGATACATTCATCCACTGTCCATTCTATCGTTCAGGAAGATGGCACAGCCTTTTGCAGCACTTCCAAAGGTCGGGCTCGTCCTCACGTTGGGACTTGAGAAGTCACCACTTTAATTTTCTTTTTTCTCTTTTATTCGTTTCTCTGGAGTTGTCTTCGTTTTTCTGGAGTGTCGCAGGCGTCCCACTAGGCCATGACTCGTGTGCTAGTGGAACCGTGCCCCCGGGGCATGGTTCCACTAGCACACGAGTCATGGCCTATTTGGACCTGTGCGGCACTGTAAGAAAAGGAAGAAAAGTAATTTTAAAGACTTGAAAAAAAGAAAAATGGCGACGGTACATTTCCCAAGATGGGAAGAAGTCGGACTTTTGAGAGTGCAGCCGTCCCACTAACCCTCCCGTCTCCACCCTCTGCTCCCCACCCAGCCAATACCTAGTCAGGACAGAGTGGTACGTGACTGTTGCAGTCTCGCATACCACCTCGAGGGAGTCCCTTCTTGTGCCTGATGGGACTCCCTCCTCTGACGGTTGCCATGCTGAAGCGTGCATTTCGTGTATTTTGACAGAATCGAAGTACTGGATGGGGTTAACAATTGACTCCGAAAAAGAAGGGGGTCAAAATTATGCCCTTCGAGTACTGTCTTTTTTTTATCTTTTGAAGAGCTGCCAATTAAAATGAGTCTTTCTATTTTCTTTTCCCGCCTCTATCTTCGGAACTGGAAAGAAAAAGCACAAAAAAAGAAAAAAAAAACACCACTTCAGAATATAAATCCCTCGCAATTTTGCTGCCATCCGATTCTCCTGCATCAGTGGTCGGACATCGTCCCGCAGATGTCCCAAAGGTGTTTGTGGGACACGGTTTACCTTACTCCTTTGCAAGTGGAACCGCGCCCCCGGCCTTGTGGTTTTTATTATGATAATGGAGTTCTTGCATTTCTCTTACCCACCACCACCCCCCCAACCCAAAAAAAAAGAAAAAAAAAAAAAAAAGAAAAAGAAGAAAAAACAATGTCCAGTGGAACAAATACAAGATGACATGAAGAAAGTCATGGCGAACAATTGAACGAGTGTGTAAGCTTTTGGATATCCGAACTGTAGGAGTACTAGCGTAGCACACGAAGGGCCAGATCCCATTGGCAAAGCGGATTGGAAGAAGTGTCTGAATATGGACGTGGTCCATGCAGAGGTGCAGAAAAGTAGATCACTCAAAATTTTTCGCACGTTTCCACAAACACGTCCACATTCCGACAGTCACTACAATCCTCTTTGCCCGTGGCATCTCGCCCTTAGTTCAAAAAATAAACTTAAAATAAGTCTGTAATTCATAATTAATATATTACATGAAATTCAAAGAGTACACTCAGGGCATGCTCACACTAGGCCCTCAAAATCGCAAAATCCCAAAATTAGCGGCCAGATCTTGTCCGTCCTTTACGAGGACCCGATCTGGGTGCTCATTTTGTGATTTTGCGAGTTTGAGGGGGCCTAAGGTAGTTTACAAGGATTCGATATGGCCGTTCATTTTGCGATCTTGCGATTTTTAGGGCCTAAGGTAGTATATGCCCCCCATAGGGACTGATGGAGAGGCCACTGGGCCGTAAATTTGAGGTCTTACTTTCCGGGCCGCAATTTGAGGTTCGACTTTCCGGGTCGAAAATCGTTAGGGCTTATCGGGGGCGAGGTTCCACTAGCAAAGAGGATTGGATTGAACACCTGAATCTGGACTTGTTTGTGGAAAGGTGCGCAATGTCGAAGATTGAACTGCTTTTCCGCATCTGTGCTTAAAACGGGTCCAGGTTCGGGATATTTATCAAACCCCTCTTTGCTAGTGGAAATTGCCGTTCAGAAAACGTAGAAAATTGCTACCCTGACAAAGGAATATGTACCAATGGGCCTTTCGCAGTTGGTACACCACCTGAACTGTTGAAAAACAGACAAGTTCGAAGCCAGATTACCTTTAGAAAAAGAGAATAAATCATTTAGAGTTGCCTGGGCCCCGTCAGTTCAATGATGATATCTAAGGGCCTCCTTCGACACCACTACAAATGTGAGGATCCTTACAAAATCATCGTTCCACCACTTAATTTAGTAAAAATTTGGGCAGCATCTCCCATAGAAAAGTAGGTCCCTCATATTTATACTAAGTCAATATGGAACTTAGAGGCCCAGGCAAAGGACAAAAATCTCTAGGGAGCCCTCGGAGGTGACTAGAAATGGAAGGGTGGGACCCTACAGATTGCCCGACAGGTAGAGGTCCTGACACCTGGCCCTCCTCGCTTGAGATGTAATGGTGGGTGAGTGAGTGTAGGGTCTTCATCAGGAGTGTTAATGCTGATGCATTCCTCGTACGAAATCCACATGAAGTCATCAATCAATGAAAAGAAGAAGAAGAAGAGGGAGGGACGAAGAGGAAGACACCAACCGCACGATGTAGTCTGTGGAAAATATAATATGAAATCACCCAGACGCGACAGTAACCATGTCGAAAATGAAATTAGAAACTATGGCTACCTTCGGCGTGCGACCCTACATGTTTCGGCCGGT